TTTCCCTCTGTTATTCTCTTTCTCCTGATCACAGTAGCTCACCTTGGTGAATCTTTTCACACTTCAAAAGCCACCAGTAGCCCCAGCCTAGTTACAGTGCTTCTGTCAGACTCCCACTGGCAGCAGTAATCTGTGTCAGAAAGGTTTGGAATAAATATTTTAGAATTGATCACACCAGGGCCACTGCCAGCACTGCCACTGTCACACAGGCAGAGAAGCTTTTAAATTGTTGTTATTATTATTTTATGTAATAAAAGGGGTTGCAATGTAATTCAGTGAGCATGGAGAAGACATCAAACCTTGTATTTAAGCTACAGAGGGGTTTCATTAGTCACATCCATGTGGATTGTTATGGTATAGGAGTTTAATTGAGAGACCCAATATACAGCTCTGAGGGAAGGAAGGGTTTGTTTCAAAATTTGATCTTCATCCCAGCTTCTAGTTGGAATTAGTTAATATGCCATGATTATTAATAATATTCCATAAAACTTTCATTTCATTGAATAAATATCTAAATTTTAAAATTGTTTAATATTGAAAAATACCCCCAAGTGATGCTTTTGTTAAAGAAAATCTTTTCAATAGGCAACCATCAGGATTTGCTAGCAGCACAGAGGTTTGTAGTCACATCTGTTTCTCCTCTCTGTTTGCATTTTGATCTAATGCAACCCCTGCCGGTCAAAGGGGAAGCAAAGACCTTCCTTCCACTGATTTAGCCATGCAAGTCTGAACTCCTGCTTGAGATTACTTTACTGCTGTCCTGAACTAGGCAGATGTTTCAAAAGCCATTGTAATTACAAATTATCTGTGTCTAAATCAGTGCCTGCAGAGTAAGAAAGAATGGCAAGGTAAGAAGACACTCTAGTCACAGATGTTCAACCCCATCAGAAAAAGAGCTCCAGCCAGCTCCCACCAGCTCTGTCTGTACACTTGCAGTACATAAATGGGGAAAAGTACCTGTGTTCATGGCAGGCTCAGGGAAGGCTGAGGTGTTGGTGCTTCTCTCCACAGACATTGATGAGTGTGAGAGCAGAGACACGTGTCAGCACGAGTGCAGGAACAGCCTGGGCAGCTTCCAGTGTGTCTGTCCCGTGGGATACCACCTCATGCCCAACGGCAAAACCTGCCAAGGTAGGAGAACTGTCTCTGCAGGGCTCTGGGGGGGCTCTGCAGAGAAACCTGACACCAGCCAGGCCCAGTGCAGGGCTGAGCTACCTCTCTGGATTGGCTGTGTGAGAGTCTGCATTCCAAATTTCAGGTTTCAGAAGTTTTTACATGCCACACTTAATCGTTTCACAAAACATCAGCAAACTAGACAATTGCAACTTCTAATCCTCTGCAGTTCCCTTGTGACTTTCTCATTACACATTGAGCTTCAAGCTCTAGGGTCAAACAGAGGCAAATTCTGAGCCCTGCTCAGCCTTTACCTACTTTGATTTTCACCCTTTAATTCTTCTACCAGCAGTTGATCCCTTGCATGTTTTTCCATCCAGATATTGATGAGTGTCTTGAAGAGGACATAAATTGTGGATCAAATCAGATGTGTTTCAACATGAGAGGAAGCTACCAGTGCATAGACACTCCTTGTCCACCCAACTACCAGCGAGAGCCACATTCTGGGTATGTTCTATTCTCAGCCCCTTCTCACCTGTCCCAAGCTCAGCTCCTTAATCTGTGCTTGTTAAAGGAGAAAATTTAAGTTTGCCTGACACCAGTAGAGCTCACAGTAGCTGAAGGTAAGGCATTGACATTGGAGGTCATAGAGTCAAAGAGTCTTGGGATGGTTTGGGTTGGAAGAGACCTTAACAGAACATCCAGTTCCACCCTCTGCTGAGCAGGGACACCTTTCACTATCCCAGGGTGCTTCAAGCCCTGTCCAACCTGGTCTTGGGCACTTCCAAGGGATGAGGGCAGCAACAGTTTCTCTGGGCAATCTGTGCTACTGCCTTAACTGCCAGGGAAGAATTCCTTCCTAAAATCTAATCTGAATCTCTCTAATGGCTTGACTTGCTAACCAGCTTCAAAGCAGCAGATATATTTTTTAAGTCATGAAAATAATTCTTACTTCCTGTTAAGCTTTATTTCCCTGTTCTGGGAAGAAATCCCATATTGATTTCTTTTAATCTTTCAATATCTTCAAAGAAAAATAGCTTTTTTTATAGTCAGAAACCATCTTTTGAGATCAAACTCAACTGCAGTGACATCTATATTGACATGGAGGTCACGTTCTTCGACCTCCATTAGCACTGGCAAACTGCACTAGCAAAGATTTAATACTTATCTTTCGATTAATAGAAGTAAATTTTGTTCTGCCCTTCATTCCAAATTCTTTATTTTATGACCTAACAGACGCATACCTCAGATGCTGCCCAGAACATTTTAAACTATTCTAATGTTTAAGAGCACAGTCTCTAAAACTTACCCTATGGACATCAGTGATGTCCAGCCATCTTTCTGACATGATCCTGTTGAGGCAAAAAGGGACATTAAACTGGGCTGCAGTGGATAAGGAACAGTGAATGAAGAATGCATGAGCACTGCTAGAGAAGTTTTAATCTGCAGCAGGGTCAACAGGGGAAGAATTTCTCCTCTAAGACCTATCCCAGTACTTAAGATACTGTGCCTTCTCCCTGGGCTAAAGTGTTCTGCTCCTTCCTAGGTTCTGTCTCAAAAGCTGCCCGGCCAACGACCTGGAGTGTGACCTGAGCACCTACGCCCTGGAGTACAAGCTGCTGTCGCTGCCCTTCGGCATCGCTGCGGGGCAGGATCTGATCCGGCTGGTGGCCTACACTCACGACCAAGTCATGCACCCCAGGACCACCTTCCTGATGGCAGAGGAGGACCCAGCCGTGCCATTTGCCCTGCGGGATGAGAACTGGAAGGGGGTGGTGTTCACCACGCGGGCGCTGCGGGAGCCCCGGACGTACCGCATGGGCGTGCGGGCCCTGTCCTACAGCGCCGACGGCAGCGTCGAGTACCGCACCACCTTCATCATCTACATCGCCGTGTCTGCCTTCCCCTACTGAGCTCAGCCTCCTGCCCAGGGCCAGGGTTGCTCCAGCCTGCTCTGCTGCCTGCCCCACATGGGCAACCACCTCACTTCAAAGGGTGCTGTGCGCTTTTCTCCTCCCCTGCTTCCCGGAGGCTGCCTCTCCAGTTCCATTGTTCCAATTCAAGAGGAAGATCCATGGCTTCGAGGACCTGTTACCACTTGCTTTATTTATTACACTGGAATAGTCACTTTCCACAGTATGTTCTGAAAAGCAGCAGAGATATCCATCAGTAAGCAAGGAGCAGCCTCCACTGAAAGTAACTGAAGGAAAACCCATAATTTCAAGTGGTCTACATATTTTAAAGGTTGCTAAGTGTTTTAAATTTTATATCTATTAGATTTTTTTCCTTATCAATTACCCAATAGAATTAGGGCTGTGCTATACTATGTTGTGTTCTCCAACCCACCAAATGCCACTATGCCCAAGGGTTGCAAATGCTGAAATGAATGGCATTAAAGTTTGTTTGCAGCTAACAAATCTACAGGAGAATTTGGAACTGGTACCTTTGGTTTCCATGCAAGTGTAGAGATGTTGCTATTTTTTGGAAGAAAAAACCAAAGTAGCTTCTTCTACTTTATAGAGCAGGTATTTTGTAACTTGTTTTTACTCTGCCATTCTGGTGTAGCCATTTATTTAACCCAAACCCATATCCACTGCCATACTCCCAGCTCAGTAAATGGTCTGGGGTTTTACGCACATGGAACATTTTTCTCCAGAGGTGATGTAAGTTTGGTTCAATAATGTCAATACACTGTACACAAGTAATTTTGCCAAGATGTATTCTATTTTTATGGACGTGTATATATGTGGTTTTTCCTGTGTGTATTTTCTATGCAGTATCTCAAGAGTGTTTTACAGTTACGTTTGCATAAAAGGACAATGTGAGTACAATGAAAATAATCAAAATAAAGGTTCCCATCAACTTTGAGACTGCTGGGACTTTTATCTTTGAAAAACTTATTTTCCATTTCTAAAGCTCTTGTCCTAAGTGCCAGGGGACAATTCAGAAGGTACCATGCCCAGCAAACCAGGGAACAGCTGCAGCTCTTTTCTCTCTTCCTGGCACTCTAGGGTAGCAAGAGACTATCACCAGCTTTAAAGTAGATTTTCAGCCACAAGAACAAATTGTCTTCCAGTAGAACTTTGTCTCTATTCTTGTATATTATTAACTAATGTTAGACATCCCCATTTGTTGTCTCCTTGCTTTTTCTTCCCTTTCCAATGTACCAAGTGAAGTAGTCCTGTGTTGTCATCTTATTGCAGGGGTTCCATACTGTTGTCTCCTTATTACAAAGGTTCTTTACCTGCTTGGTGTTTCTCGTGGGCATCTCCTCAGAGCACTGACTCTTTCTTCTTCACAAAGCAGCCAACTGACTCCAGTCCCCCTCTCGCTCAGCCATGCCACTCTTTTATAGCATCTCCTTCTCATTGGTTACAGCTGTGGCCTGTTAAAGTCAGGCCTGTTCCTAATCTTTGATAATTGGCTCAGCTGCAACTCCTTAGGGGTGAGATTACTTTCTACACTATCTTTATTTTCTTATACTCTATCCCCCTACAGTCCTGCAAAACCAGGATGACTTAAAATTGCTTTGCACTTTATACAGATTTATCAGAGTTACAGACTTTAAACTGAACAGGCTTGCTGCTTGGAAACCTGACTTGAAAAATAAAAGCAGCTCAAAGAAGATCAATCCCATAGAAAAGGAAGGAGAAATGAGAGTAAGTTATAATAGGTACAGGTAATTACCTCAGTGTCTTTTAGAAATAAGTTCATCACTTTCAGTCTGATTCTCAAGGGAACCTAATTCCACTTCCAGAACATAAAAATTTCTACTCTGACATATTTTGCAAGAAGGGAAAAAACTCCAACAGCGTTGACAACCTTTCTGACCAATCTGACCCTAAAAGAAGTAACAGTCACTTACCAGGTAGAAGGCACTTAATCACAGCCATGGCTCCAAGTTTTCCTTCATCAAGGCTTTCCAGGAGCCAGCTCAAGGAGGAGCTGCTTGTCCATGTGGAAGGTGTTCCTTATCCTGAGATGACGCCAGGACTGAGGGACCAGTGAGATGTGGGTCACTGTGGGCGTGGTGGTTTTCACTCAGGGACTCAGAAGGGAAATGCTGAGTAAAGGAGAACTTCTGCCATGGCCTTCTCTTCTTTGGACGTCTTGAGCTGTGTAACAAATTTCATTCCTGTGCTGTTAAAAAGGGTGCAAGTATGTTAAATTAGAGCAACTGTACCTGCTGCTGCTCTACCTCCATAGGCCTGTTGCTGACAGGCTGGAAAAGCTGCTGCTTATCATTACTTTTCCTAGTCTAACTTTAGAGGCAGGTTAGTACATGTTTATGTGCCCACATGAGAGAGCAGTTAATGAACAGATAGTGCTGCGCTGCTACCTCAGGCCTGTGCTTACCTTCCTTCTGCACAAGCCTACTGTTCCCCTTGCTTAGTGGATTTCCTGGAGCAGCATTTTCTCCTGGCCTGTTTATCCCTGAAACACTGTCCTGTGCCACAGGCTCCTGCCTCTGTTCCTGACCCTCACCCCTGTGCAAACATACCAACATTTCATTAACTACACTTAACCAGGATCAAACAAATCCTCTTCTGCCATCTTCCACGGTGTGTATCTATCTCCCATAGTGAGGAACTGGTACATAGGGGTGGTTTCAGGGTGACAGCTGGTGGCACAAGCCTCCTGAAGCTCACCTCCTGGTGGGCACACTTCGGATCCCAGCCACCTACTTGCTGCAGCAGTGCCCAGAGCACTCAGCCCATGCCTGTATTCCAGTAAAACATCTGCTAAACCCCAGCCTTTGCCAGAACAAAACCAGACTCACTCTTCCTCCCAAAAACAATCCTATCTTGGTAAAGCCAAAAGAAACTGCATGTTAAATACAGCTCTTTGGAAAAATCCATGTGATCCCTTCCAAATCTAAGGTCTAGGAGAGGAGTAAGGCAGGAAAAGGAGTTCAGGGATGAAACCAGGGTCAACTGGGGCCAGAAAGGATGGAAAATTCACAACCAGCATCTGTTAAAGGTGACTGATGCCTTAATGCCAGCCCCACCACAGCATCAGGTATCTCACAGCCACCATAAGAGGCAGGTGTTCAGGAACCAGGGGCAGGTAAGGAATGCCCATCACACCTTCTGTAGGGATCCAGCTTGCCAGCCCCCAGAGAGAGGAAATGCACTGGGGTTTTATTTTCCTTCACACACTGGCCGAAGTGGAAAAGCTACTGCATGGGTACAGTAATGAGCCTGTGCTGGATGCACAGCGCTGTTGGCTGAAGGGAATACATGTCATCAGGTGAGATGGATGCTCAGCAAAGACCAGAGCAGCTGTTCCTGACTGGAAATGTCCACTTCCAAGTCAGATCCAGACAGTGGGTGCGAAAGCAGGCGGATGCTGAGTAATGCAGCCGTCACTGCCCGCATCGGCGGGGCACTTCCAGGCAGGACACTGCTCCCAGGGTCCAGGGGGGAGTTCTGGAGCCTTTTGCCTTCAGAGGCGTTTCTAGTTCTGGCAGCTCAAATCCAAGGCTGCTGCCAATAAAAACTTGGCACAGTGCAACAGCTGAAATCCATGGATTATTTTACAAGGCTGAAATCCCAGCACCTGCCCTGCTGTCGCCCACGAGTGGGAGCAGCACACACAGCACTGACTGTGGGATCCCCCGGCCGGGGTGCAGAGGAGGCACCTGGCACATTTCCACTTACCTGTCAGGATATGGCATGTACAAATGCATGGATTGGTGAGGGCTACTGTGCTTTGTTTCTGTGGGGAATCCTGCAGGCAGATAAGGCTCCTCTGGCCTTGAGGGCTTTGATCTCTGATCCAGCGGAGAGCTTTGATTCAGCCCAAAATCAGATGGATCTCATTGCCATCACTCAGCACCACAATGAAGTCTGGAAACCTAAAGCACCTTCTTCACCAGCTTCCATTAATGCCGGAGAGTCTGAATGGCTTAAGTGCAGCCCCTGAGGAGAAAACAGAGACATTTTCAGCACTTGCACATGCAGAAGCTCCCCATTCATGCAGAGCTGCTGCTCCACAGGGACTACAAGAACTCTTCATTAATGACTTCATTTACCCCTTATAAGCCTGGGCAAACTGAGAGGCACAGGCCTCTGGGTGTGAGCTGGGACAGCAAGGAAACACCAGAGAGTGCCAGCTGATGGCCAGAGCTAAATGGGTCCTCAAACATCACACCTTCAGCAGCACTGCTCTAATCATCTCAAGATCCAAGCAGTGCATCCAACCACACCCTCTGAATAAGGTTAAATGTGACCCCTAGCTGGCTGCAGGTTTTTGTAAACACATTTGCATATCTGGACACACTTAACACAAATCAAATCATCTCTCAGATCATTGGGTTCAGTGTTCAAATCTTCATAGCACAACTGGTGCCAGATTATTCTGCTTTGATAAAGTTTAGTGTTAGAAAGGGAAGCAAAGGAGACTTGCTTACAGATAAAGGCATGTGGATAAAAAAGGCACACTTCAGCACTAACAGATTCAAATTATAGTTTATGAATAGCTAAATAATAGGGGCATCACAAACATCACCAAGCCAGGGGGTTGTTCAGAGTACACAGCAAAGGTTAAGAAATTAATGCTGTGCAAAGAGAAGAGGATCTGTTAATTCTCACTGTATGTAAGCACTGTGCATCTCCTATGGTTCTGGATAGCTTCAGCAGTCTTGCAATGCAGTGAGATGCAGCTGGCTTCTTTATTAATAACTTCTCATTGCTAAGGACTGAGACAAGCTCCCCTCCACACCGTTGAACAGCTTACTGCACAGCAGTCAAATCAAGTCCTGCCCCCCTGCTCCATCACAAGAAGTGTCTCAAGGACTCCGCTCATAGAGAGCACCTGAGAGGTACCAAGAGATCTGCACTGCACAGCCCATAATTCCAGCAAGGCCAAACTTGCTATGCAAAACTGTACCAGAAAAACTGGCAAACAAAAAGTTGTATGTAAAAACTTCAAAAAAGGAATGTATCTAATTTGGGGTCTCCAGCTTAAGAGGCAAAGCCATCCAGCATCCCTGAAGTAAAGAATCCCATGAGTATTCCCCATTACCACCGTCCCTGATAAACACAGTGGCACATAAAAAAGCCCAGTTCCAAACAGCATCAAGGCTCCTTCACAACTGCCTCTTCACATAAAATCAGGCAAAGGAACAGGACTTCCCCATGTCCAGAGAGGAAAATGCAGAGGTCTCTGGTGTCACTACATGACTGACTGAAATGGAAAAAGCAAAAATAACATGAGAAGACAACATTAAAACATACACTAAAGGGACTGCAGGAGCCCCAGTGATAAGCAGGGGAGGACAAAGCTTCCTTGCTCCAGAACCAGATGGGTTTTGCTGAGATGTCCTAGCAAGTCCCATGCTTGAGAGCTTATGGGAAAGAGATGAGCTGAAGAATTCTGCAACAAAACCATCACTTCTTCAATTTCTCTTCTACTTAAAAGAACTGGACTTTATTAAACCTTGTAAATAACTCTGATTCCATCAAATTTATTCATCCTTCATCATCTGTCTCATCCTTCCTCATCTGTCTGCAAGCAGAATTAGCTCACCAGTATTCATTATTTACCAACACTTCAGGCCAGCCTGCTTTTCTCAGCTGCTGTGGTCTTGTTGAAAAGGAAATATTGGTGGTTTTCTTACTGGTTACTCTGCAATGTTCTCAGTGATGCAGAGACTGATAGAGAACCTCAAGTTGGGTGTAACCCTGCAAAGCCTGTGCCAAAATATTACTGCTAACATTTCACAGCTCATGTTTTGAAAATTTTCTGGATGCATAAACAATGTTTTCCTTTAAAAGATGAGGCTCTAAGACAGAAGTGGTTTGTGTTCACCAGCCCAAACGCATAGCAAGGTAATATCATGGGTGTTTTTACCACCTGTAGTAGCTTTACTACAGACAAGCAAAGAGCCATCAGCAATTACCAAAAAGCCACTTCTAATGAAAGCCAGTCACAACCTTGCTAAAAATTCCCAGTGCCTTCAAATTGGGCACCTCAGCTAATCAAAATCTCTCTTAATCATAGGAAAGGTCTCAGCAGATACCACAAGTAATAGCAAAGCTAGGTTTTACTTAGAGCTGATATAACCCAAATGGTCTTGATATAGATTTGAAACTGATAAACAGGACAGAAGGGCCCATTGCAAAATGAATTACCACAGTATGTAAAAACACACCAGCAGAGCAGCTAATGGCAACAGGCTGAACCCAGCTGAGAATCAGCTTTTTGGAGAAGAAGAGCTGGTTTTTGGGCAGTCAGGTTCAGCAGTGAAGTTCAGCACTGTGGGATTAGCCCGTTTGTTTACAAAGCCCTGCTGGTTATCTAAATAAATCACACAGCACTGGTTTTGCTCCCACCTTGTGTACTAGAAAGAAATCAATAGAAAATAACAATCAATAAATCTCCAGCCTCAAACTGGAATTTAAACCAGCCATGCTAAAGTCTGAGACATTTTCATGATTTAGAGCTGCATGAGTAAATTGCCCATTTCCACAGGTTTTTTCAGTATTTTGACAAAGTCCTTTGATCACCTAAAGCTGAACTGAGAAAAATACAATGGATGCTTGTTCCACTTGGCAAACCCCAAACTCTCCCACTTTTCTGTCATCAATTGTGTCTTTCAACAAATGCTTCTGATACTCAGATACACATGCAGACAACATGTTCAAACTAGATATTTGGTCCCAATTACACTGAAGTCAAAGTCTGAGCTTTATGTACCAGAGCATCAGCTTCTCAACCACCTCTCAATTACAGCAATAACCTCTCCTCTGACTACAACAAATCCTTTCCCCCCCACTCACAATAACTCTTAGTAGTGCTACAAAGACCTTGATCTTATTCTACAAACACAAGCACTACTTTCCTTTCAAGTTCAGCCTGTCTTTACTGCCAGGAATCTTGCTACACTTTCAGATCTGTTCTCTACCTCTCAAATTGGCCTTTTTTTTCACTTGGCAGGAGTTTGCTCCTTGCACAGAACAACTTCATTTTGCTCTTTCAACTCTTTCTCCAGAGTCCTCCTCTGTGGGCTGTCATTGGAGATAAATACAAGAAAGATAGCGAAATGCGTAACTACAGGAAATGAGTCCAACACCATTTTCTGTACCAGTTATCTAAAACATTAGTTTTGGAAGCTATTAAACACCTTCCAGTATAACATCATGTTGGTAAACAGCACTTTCACAATGATTTCCCTTACGAGAGGGTTGGTTACTGAGCTGTTTTTTCCAGTTTTACAAACTCTGTCCAGACAAACTCCATTCCACTACAAAGGTGTGTGTGCTTGGATTTTAGGACCTATTCCACAACGGGGGAGGAAGAGGGGGCTCCTCTGGCTCACAATCTTATCCATTATCTTACAAGGAATGCACTGGTACCACACCAAAACCCATGATGGAGACATATTCATGAACATATGAACACTGCTACCAAAAACCTGGAGTTTAGCTGGCAGGATTGACTGGAGGAGCCCTTGTTGCTCCATGGGAGGGGACAATGACAGAACAGTGCCAAAGGAAGGACCCACTGGCATCAGAAGTCTTGGACTGCAGGTGACCCAGAGAGGCTTGCCATGAATATCAGGTGCTGTCACCAGCACTTGCAGGTCTCAAATGCTGTTCACAGAGACAAGAATTCCCTAGGTCAGAGACATCCATGAACACAAGGGACTCAGCAGCACCAAACCCCCAGGAGTCACAGACGGACCTGTGGTACACTTAAATCAGAAAGGGCAGACACAAACACCAGGTCATGTTTCCTGTACACCATGGATGTATGGATTTAGTTCAAGCGAGAGCTGTCACCAACTCCTGACAACATCCTGAGCAGCTACTTGGAGTACATGAGCACTTATCAATGCACCCTCAAGCCCACAGCACACTGGGACAACCTCAAAACAGAAACCACAATTTAGGTCCATACTTGCTGAAACAGTGGAAAGGTATTTTTTGTAAATATAATTGGGATTTCATTATTTTGTTTTGATTTTTCTTCAGATAGCAGAACACAGAGCATCAAAAAGCTCTGCTATTTAGCAAGGAAGCCTGCAGTTACAGGTTTGAGCATAGTTCTGAATCTCTGGGATGAAATTCTATTTTATTCAGTATTGTCTCCAGCACAAAAGGAATATGCACTTGTAGTGTTTATAAGACTGTTGGCAGAAATAAGGTTATATTAATTAGCTCAATCTAACAAATTAATTAATAAATTGAGAGTTAATGTTCTTACACAGAGATGGAAAAAGCTCCCTACACATACCTGAAAAAAGCACTGCCTACATGGCATGCATTCTTATTTTTCATTAGTGACTATACAATTTCACCTGGAGTGTTATATTCTCTGCCCCCAGGTTCCAAGTGAGCTGTAGATCCCCTTTGAGAGAGACTGACATGAAAACTAACCACTGCTATTGCCTGAATGGTCACAGGTTAGATAGACCTCTTCTATTGATAGATGTTCTCAGAATACTGAGATTTTAGATTAAATCTGTTGTATTTTAACAACAACAACAACAACACATCAAATATTTTGAGAGTTATAATTTCTGTGTCTGCAGCAGAACTGATATGTCAGTTATTCAGTCCATTTCCTATTTCAGTTTTCCATAGACAGATTTTGAAAGTAAAGATAATCTTTGTTTGCATCTATCTATTATGCAGTCATTGTTTATTTTTAAGCTGTTCTGGTTCTGCATTAAATACATTTATTTTAATAAGATGAGCAACAGTACTTGTAAAACAGAACATCTGTAAATGCCTGCAATCTGCCAGACAGTCTTGTGCAAGAGTAATCGCTCCAAATAAATGTTGTTTGTAATGCTCTTTAATATTATGCCAGATAAAGTGATAATAAAAATGCAAAAAGCCTAAAAGGATAGGAGTAGCATCATATCCCTGAAATCATCAGCAAGTGTCCCTGTTTTCTGAAGTTCACATATGAA